AATCTAATAAATAAATAAATAAATAAATAAATAAATAAATAAATAAATAAATAAATAAAATTAAAGAGGTAGTAAAAGACATTCATAAAATAATTTGAATTAGGAGAGTGGCTGTAAAAGAGGTGAGATCAAGCAGAGCATCTCAGTGGAGCCACGCCTGGCAGTACCAGTTTCCTGATATCACTGGTAGCTCTGTTTTCTGAGTAATATGACTTCTACCAAGGAAAGTTACTGGGAAGAAGATAAATCCTGAGCCAGTTATACTAGTGGTCAAGCTACTATTCCATAGCTTGGTTTTTATCTTCTACCATGCGGCTGCTATCTCTAAGGGCTTTTCTGCAAAACAAGAGCCAGGTCTAAATTAGATGGCAATTCTGCTGCTTCACAAGCAGTACTGACACTTATCCATTCACACTGCAGGCAAATTTGACTGTTGTGATGATATCTTGGGAGCAGAGTTTTAATGCTGGTAGACATTCTCCTATATCAGAAGTTAATTCTGTTCTGTTTTCTTATCAAGTAAAAGAGCAAAGCAGACGACCGACAATCGCCAATGAAGTGATGTCTCCATTCTTTTGTACTGTGTTAAAGTTGAACACCAATAGCTAAGAACCAGCATTTAAGAAAAAGCAGGAATAGGGGGAGGAATGGCATTTCTATGAAAAATAGTGCATGCTAGACATCCTTATGATAATATGCTTGTATTCTAATTAACACTGAATTATTAACATACAGTACTGCTACTGAAAGACTAGCATTTTAAGGACACAATGAGAACACAGTAAGGTCAATAAGGATAACCTTCATACCCAGTACAACCTGTCTGCAATTATTTTGATTGAATTTTTTTACCGAGTGTAATTAAAGGCAATGGATTTTTTACTTTGAGAATAAAGGTCTCCTCAGGCTGTAAGTGAAGCTCCAGGGTAGATTGTTTAACCATCTGTTCAAATTGCAAGTTCCTCTTCCTTGGAACATCCAGAGCTGGAAAGAGGTCACTGATTAAGCCCATGAAAATGGGGATATCGTCTGTCACTATCTTAGGCAAATTGAAGTCCCTCAAGGCTCGCATAAGTATCTGGAAAAGGCAGTAAGCCACATATTATCATACTTACAAAGTTTCTGATCAATTTCACTAGTCAAAATATACTGTATTTATCGGCGTATAACACGCACAGGCATATAACAAGCACCTCAATTTTAAGAAGGAAGTTTGAGTAAAAAAACTTAAATTTAAAATAAATGACTGGGAAGCAAAATAAAGGGAGCTCTGAACTTTTTGTTTATTAATATTTATACTACTTATAAGGTAAATATGTAAGTTGAAAGAAAAAGCACCTCTTTTGTATGTTGTAGGCTGGCTGTGTGTAGTGTGTGTGTATCATTAGTGTTTGTTAGCTGTGTGTAGTGTGTGGTAATGGTATTCTGTTTATTACCATACTGGTACTTATTCCCTCCCTTCCTGCTTACCTATCTGCAGCAGGCAGGCAGGTAAGATCTCTGGTGGAGCAGTAGGGGCTAAAACTCCCTGGTGGTCCGAGTGTATTGGGGGGGTATTTATTATTAGGGTATGCCTCCTCTGTTTGCAGTCTTTAGTAACATCGCCCGCGTGGTCCGGCACTCAGTGTGTCAAAGCAAAGCGCCGGCAGCCGGAACAGCATTTCTTTTTTGGCAGCCACTACCACTCCAGATGGCTGCAGAGGGAGGTGCAGAGCCCACGGCATGCAGTGCAATGCCCCCCTGGCTGCCTGCCAAGAACTGCACCTGTCCCCTCTTGGATTGCCCCAGGGCTGGCGAGCATGGAAGACGCAGCCTCTCCTCCAGCTCCCTGAGGCCTTGCCCGCTCCTTCCTCCTTCCCGTTGGGATAAACTTTGGCGTAGAGGGGCGGCCCCCTCCCCTGAGGGCTCCACCGCACCACTGGGAGCATGGGAGAGTCCAGGGACCCGAGTTCTCCAGCAGCCTTCAGAGGAGCGTTGATCCCCTTGCTGGGGCAGGGCAGCATGCAACACTTACCTCTCCGGACTGCACGGTCCCTCAGCCTTATCAAAGTCAGAGGCTTGGTGCGGCAGGAGGTGCCCCGCTCTGTCCGGGAGCTCTTGGCCTTCCTGTTCAAAGCCCATCTCCTCCGCACTCAGCAAGTCTCTCAAAATCATGGAGCAACCACGGGGAGGAATAAAAACCTCGCAAACACGCATGCATGTGTGCACATACACACATACACACACACATCGGTGCTTAACTCTTCCTCCTCCAGGCGCAGTACACTTGGGACAGTGGCTGGTTTGCAAAGTTGGAGGCCCAGGGAATGGGTGGTGCGCGGTTCCCTGCCCATCCAGTTTTAGCAAACTGCGGAACTGCTGTGGATCTGCTCTTTGCACTTTGCTCTGACACACTGAGTACTGGAGAACTCAGGTCCCTGGACTCTCCCATGCTCCCAATGGCATGGTGGAGCCCTCGGGGGAGGGGGCCGCCCCTCCGCACCAAAGTTTCTCCTGACAGGAAGGAGGGAGGAGTGGGCAAGGCTCCAGGGAACCAGAAGAGAGGCTGCGTCTTCTGCGCTTACCAGTCCTGAGGCGATCCAAGAGGGGTCGGGCACAGCTCTCGGTGGGCGGCCAGGGGGGCATTGCACAGTGCACCACAGGCTCCGTGCCTCCCTCTGCAGCCATCTGGAGTGGCAGTGCTGGGTTGTGGCAGCTACCAAAAAAGAAATGCTCTCCTGGCCGCCAGCACTTTGCTCTCTGAACCCTGCCTCTTGAGGTGAGAAGCTGTAGGGCATATCGGCGTATAACACGCAGCTAGGATTTCAGCTCCAAATTTTAGGGGAAAAAGTGCGTGTTATACACCAATAAAAACAGTGCTTTGAAAAAAAAATCCATATGAATATATGAATTTGTTCCTCTCAGTGACAAGAAAAAAAATCACCCAATTAAAGTGATATAATTTTATTATCAAAGAAAAACTGGAGGAATTATAGCTTTTCTAATTTGGTGTCCTCTGCATGTGCAGGAGAGAGAATTCCCTGTAAGGATGGGCATGACAAAATGCCTGTTTAGGAATTTGCAAAACTGTAGTTCCAACAGGCCTGGATGTTGAAAAGTTTGGGAAGTAGATATATGAAGTCTATATCCACATTATGTTGCATACCTGATCTTCAGGTCTAGTCTTATCTCCTCGCTTCAGAGAACCAGCAACTACCAAGACAGATTTAATAGCCCGAAGACCCCAATCATAATGATCCTGTGATGAGATATATGCAGGAAAATTTTAAAAATCACTTTCAAAATCTACTAACTTGTCCTTCATATTATATTTTAAAATGTAGAAACTAAGTTGTTCTAGTCTTTTTTCATTTTTGATATTATACATTACTATACTTGTGGTCTATGATGGGATGAAATTCTGAAATGAAATATTCAGTTATTCAAATCTAAATTAATCCAGATTAATAAAGTTAATCAAGTTATAATAAAGTAAGCAGGTATAATAGTACATTTAAGAATAGCTATAGTGGTAAATGAAGAAGGTGATCTGGTAGCATCTGACTCATAAGGTAGTACTTCTTTACTCTGTTCAGTTTGATTTTGAATAAGATGTAATAAAATTATTACCAAGCTAATTTTTCTCCATCCCAAATTACTGAATGAATCACATCATATTTCTATACATAGAAAACAGCAAATGAGAGAGAAATCTAGATTTCGATCTTTTCCATAACACATAATCTTCTATGTACAACAAAAAAAGGTGCATGAAAGAACATTTTAAGCCATTTTGGGTTACACAACCAGATTTTGATATAATATATTCACCTTCTTTGCTAAATTAGCATCTTATTTGTTAGCCATGAAAACTAGAACAAAATAATACTATTCTTTATTTGCAAAGGTTTTATTTTATCTTAGAGTAGAGGAGCCATGCTGGATCGCACTAAAAGCTTATCTAATATAATATCCCATTTGGTCAACCAAATATGGAAGTTTAGAAGCAGGACATGAATGCCCTAAGAAATTGATTGCCAACATTATATCTTATGGTAGTGAATTTCAGAACATGCCAAATACAACTGGTGAAGAAATATTTTCCCTTAAGTTATACTAAATTGCCTATAATTAACTTTGGTTAACCTTGTGTTCTAGTATTACATATGAAATAAAGAGAAAAACATATCTCCAGTCTCTTCATGCTACACCATTGAAAAACATATTAACATTTAAATAATAACATATATGGCTTTAACTGAAAGTACTTTGATAGCTTTATAGGACTCTCTTTATAGGAATTGTAGATGTAATGAACTGGATATATCACTTATTTTTCAAATATAACTCAGGCAATCCTTTGCTTTCAAAAATATAAATTAGCTTTGTTGAAGCACAAGGTCCAAGAGATGTTTCTTACCTGCTTAGAGAGAAGTTCTCTACAAAGGGTATACAGAGTAACAAACTTTCTGGCTAATAAGCGTGCATCAATAAACCCTTCGGCCACCAGCATTATTTCACAGATTAGTTCAATGTCAGGGACCACCATTGCACAGGGTCTAAAATAAAAACAAAACCAAGCAAAAGGCATTAAACCAGAATCAGAGACTATAATGTAAGCATAGTGAGAAGAAGAAAACTAACTCCTTATTCAAGGCAGTGATTTTTACAAATGTAGTTGCCTGAGCTGAGGAGAGCAAATAATTACACCTTAACACACACTTTTTTTCAAAGTAAATAAGGACAAGGCTGCTTGCTGATTATTAGCATTTTCTACTACTGCTATCTCAAACACAGCGGAAAATGTCAGTTTTCTCAAGTTAGTTTTTGCAATCCTTTACAGACAATACATTTTATTGTGGAAAATAAATATAGGAAGCTGTCACTTAATAGATAATCTCCAAGGTGATCTTTTCTCCCAAATATAGGTAAAAACAAGATTTTTGGATTTAATTTCTTTTAGGACAAAAACGTTTGGGAATAGTATCAACAGTTCATCAAGTCAAATGTCTCTGAAAACAGCCAAAATAAGCTCGTTAGAAAGGAATGAAAGATTTTGTTCTGAAGCCCACAATGATGTATGCTTCATAATAAACTTGTGATTTTGATACTCCACTGCTAAATTCAAAATCAAGAAATCTTAATACCTATCAACAGAAACAATGCTTTTCAATTAAGTTTTTCAAACTAAGGAAATGTATAGATGTATAGAATTTTAATCAATCGAGTTACTTTGTTTTGAACTAATCTTTGCTTCACAAAGAACTAAAATGTTGCTAAAGAGAATGGCCCCCTTTCTTATATTGTACAGTGGCACAGGGACTGATATCATGTGACTGTGTTCTGCATTTATATGTTAAGTATTTAAGCATTCTTAAATAAAAAAAAAACCCTCTTTTTATTAAAGTACACGATAGAGGCTTTTTAAAATAGAAGTGGACAGGGAAATATGGCTCAGTGCTCCAACTTAAAATAGCAGTGAAGCTATTTTAAGTTTATCTTTTAACTTCGTTACTTAAGTTTTTTCCTGCTATGATTAAGTTTCCAATAGTAAACCTCTTTTATTGTGCATTTAGCAAAAAAGGAAAAAAAATTTCATCTCCCATATCTTTCTGTTGGGTATCGAACCTGCAACTATGAAGAGCTCTTTCATTAAATCATTATATTAAAAAGATCTAGTTGTTAACTATTGCAAATTAAAGAATTGACATTAGGGGGCACAAATGTTCTGAAAGCCTTATACTGTCCTTTGTACTCACCTGAATAGAGCTTTAAGATTTCCAGGTAATTCTGTTCGGCCAGCATACCCCGGATTCATGGTAATAAATATTCCTACTGACGCTTTCAATGTAATGTTTTCTCCAAGGAATAAGAATCTGCATTAATAAAGAAATAAATCAGCAAACTTTGTTACAACTGAAGTAATTGTCTCTGGTTTCAGTTTCTTGCAAATTACACTCAAAAAACACAAGGAAAGTCTATGGCTGGAGTACGAAATATACACAGCTCGTTCTAAATACCACTCAAGCTGCCAAATTATCCAATTTTCAGTAGAAACCTCTTTGAGGAACTTTAAAAAATCTGTTAAGATGTCATAGAAGGTCTAGCTATTAAAAGGAAACATATTATACATGCTAATGCCATTGAACATGTTTAAAGGAGGTTCATTTTATTTCAGTGACAGCATTCACATTTATCATTAAGTCAGAATATCTTAAAACATTGTTATTGAATAAATTGTAATGTCCTGATTCAGACTTAAAACTGAGGCACAATGCGTGGCTTTGCACTTCAAGCTAAACCAAAAGCAAATTATATTTTGCCCCAGCATGATATAAAATACAGCCAATGTGTATTTATGCTCTATTTTTCTTTTTAAAGGGAAGCCCTAATAATCAATTACTAAATAAATATAATGATAACAAAAAAATTATCAAGAAGGATTCTGGTAAAGTGAGGTGAAAGGTAAAGATAATCTTTATATATCCACAAGGTCTGTACAAAAGATATTCCAGTTGTTTTATTATTTGGTTAATATCGTTTAACTTTTAACAAGTATTTTAATTCTTCTTGTAACTTGTTTTAGGAAGATTTATCCCATGGAAAATAAGAGATTTGGCAGGAAAGGCTGGATACCAACATGGTAGTTTTGGAAGATGAAACTGTAGGTGCTAAACAGACTGCCGTATGCCAAATGTACTTGCAGTCCTCCATGTGATAGACATTTCCCCACCACCACTGTTAAAGAAAGACTCACTGCGTTAGCCTGTGATTTGTTTAACCAAAATTTACTAAATAAACTGCATGTAGCTGGTTTTGCTCAACGCAGATAGATATAACCATGCCTTAAAAACACTATGGCTCATTCACAGATCATGCTAAGTGAGAGCCAAACCAATTATATGGAGATAAATAATTCTTACAGAAATATTAATACATACCTAGAGATAAAAGTACTATAAAAAATTAAAATTCAGTACTGGCAGGTCATTTATTAATATCTTCATGATATGTTTAATCCCTTAAATATTTAAGGCAGTAGCCAATACTCACTGTTTTTTATTATTTCTGATGGCATCATGGATAGCTTTTACTTGTACTGCCACCACTGAAAGAACTTCTACTGAAATTCGGTTGAATTCATCAAAACACCCCCAAGCACCTGTTTGAACCAAACCTTTATAGATGTTTCCTATGGACTATATGAGAAATAAAGGAGAAATTAGTTATTTTCCTATAAACAACAAGCACAAATATTTGCATTACTGTATTCAATCATGGATTCATTATTAACTCTAGAGTTTCTCTGTCTACTAAGCTCAAGATATCATAGAGCTACTGGTCTGTATAGATATAGGGACGGATGTGTTTGTCAACTGCTACCAGAAAGCATCACTGAGTTCTATGGAATAAACACTACAGTACAAAGCTTGCAGTTGGGACAAATTTTAAGGAGACACTCTAGACATGGTTCAGTCCCATCCCAGTGATATTACTTTATATTCTTGAATATGGGTAATTGAATTCATTATTTGTAACAATACAATACCAAGCAATGTTTCATTTCCTTTACATTACATTAGAAATAAGCATAAAAAGATAACATGCCAAATTAAAACTTGTTAAATCTACTTCTACCCAAGTTGTAGAATTCATCCCATAGTGAAAAGATCACTTCGAAATAATGTCTGCCTGCTTTAGTCTCCTTTAACAGTGGCTCCTTCTGATAGGAAAAAAGAGAGAGAAAACCATCCTTATAGTCTTTCTTTGAAGACAAATGATTGCAGATAACCAAAGCACCTTGTAATCCATCTGCTCAGAACAGTTGAAAACATAGACCATCATTCCAAGTGCATGTCCAAGATCCTTTGTGGTTTCTGTTTTGCCTGTCCCAGCAGGACCTGCAGGAGCCCCACTCATTGTTAGGTGTAGAGACTGGGTAAGAGTAATGTAACACCTTTAAACAATAAAAGCACAATTACAATAACATAAACATAAACTTTCTTCAGTGATGGACACTGCAAAACCACAAGCTACAAGAGCAATGATAACTGAGGAATTTGCATTTCTTTTTTTTTTTTTTTAAGTTTCTCTTCAATAAATAAATTCCATGATGGTATTATTTCTTGCTTAAAACACTGCAAACAGATGCACAGTATGGCAAATAAATGACTCTGAGGAACATAGGAAGAATATGAGCATACTGTAAAATGGGGGGATTGGAACAGCATATAAAGAAGAAAAAAAGCATGTCCTGGAAATTAGTTTGATCCTTCCACAACATCATGGCTATGTAGATTTTTGTATCAGACACTCCATCTAATAGCACAATCATTTGTAGGTTTACACAGATCTAAGTCTGACTGCATCAAATGGGCAAGCGTAGCAGCTTAACTGAAGAGTCTATCAAACACATTCAAAACATACTTTTAAGTTGTCATTTGCAGAATTGCAACATACATATTCCTCTATGGATTAAAATGTAGGAGCCTAGCTTGCATTAATACTTACATGTTTCTTCAGCTCAGCTGTAATCTATGATGGTTGTTATGGTATACAAAAAATGAAATATTATTAAACCTGATATTCCCTTTCTTGGGTATGCAGTTTGCTCATTTCTTCCATCCTAAATTTTTATTTCAATTAATTTCTTGAAAATAAACCTAATAGGACTGTGCAAAGGTTTGCAGGCAGTGAAGTGGTTATGCATGCAAACTTGCACAAACAGCCAGGAAAGCAACTGTGTGAGCTTTCCAGAAAATTTTCTACTTTAATCTTTCAAAGGGAGGTGTTTCATTCATCATAGAGCTTTAAGCTCTTTTAAATGCCAACCCAAGCCTTCCTATATAACTGAGAAGATTAGATAGGGCTATTTTGTAACCCAATGCAATTATGCTACCTTGTAATTGTGCTTTTTTAAAAAAATAAGAGGACTTCATAATATAAAGAATTTCTCACTGGAAAGGATACTATGAGATTTTATGTACAATTTTACATTCTGCAAGACAGCTCAGGGACGGGCCACTGTTAGGCAAATATTACCTGTCAGTCAAAGGTGTAATAACTAGCCGAGGGGTATTTCCCAAATACTCATAGTAATACTGAAACTCAGCATCACAAATGTTGGCAAAGCAGTGTTTCAGGGCCCAATCCCATCTATGGCGTAGTTGCGACAGCCAAGGAAAAGCTTGGGAACTAGCAACCTGTAAAAACACCATACCACATTGCAAAACTGTTATTTATGCAGATGCTGTTAAAGAATAAAAAATCCAGTCATGCCAAAATGCCTAAGCTGTCATCACCAGCCTCATTCACAATCCTTCAGAAGTAACTCCAGTGTCTGCAATTATAAGAGATTAGATTCATTCCTTGGCATCTCTACACCATAACAAACTAAATGCAATATATGATTGCCTTTTTAATAGAGGCTTTAGTTGCAACAGATATTAGAATTTCTGCCATAATTTCCTCTTCCGTTTTAGCATTTACAAGAAACAAACTGCAGGTATTTGATGTGAGTCAATTTTATACGTGCCTTCCAGCATCATTCATACCATTTTATTTCTCAGATCTGACTATTTCATTTTTATTACACCCTTTGGGTTCCATCAAACAATTATATCTTCAATGTCTCATTTGTTTCTTTTCTACCATTTGGAACATCATACACAGCCTGGATTGTCTTTAAAATATGAGTGATTCAGTGGAAATTAAGATCTTTGTCTCATGTTTCTGGCATATGAAGAATTTCCTAGGTTACAGAAACTAGCGTCTACTGCCTTTAATATCCTCTAATGTCAACCATACAGGTTCTAGAACAGGGAGGCTGAAGACATACACTGTTATGTAAAAACATCATGGCACCATTTGATTTGCCCTTTCAGAAGTGTTTGTTTCTCTTTACAGTCAATGATTAAGTCAAGAGTAAAGCCCTGTCAACTCTTTCTTTCTTTCTTTCTTTCTTTCTTTCTTTCTTTCTTTCTTTCTTTCTTTCTTTCTTTC